TTGATTGCTTATGTTGTTATTTTCATAATTTGCCAAATTAATGTAAATGTTTGATGTTAAATTTTGATTCTGTAAATAAATGACCGCATTCATTTTGATGGGTCAAATATAAATGACGTCTCACGTTTGCATTTCCTTAAATTCAATGCACGTTTTATTCAGTCCAGAAAAATGAGGAATCCATGTTAAATGATGAATATATCCGAGCATCTGTTCATCTACATATATATATATATATATATATATATGTGTGTGTGTGTGTGTGTGTGTACAGGAAATTTAACAGCATCCCATGTTTTACAGGATTTCCTGTTTTTAACATCTAATTCCATTATCCCAGCCACACATTCTTCATTGCAAAAATCATATGACAATACCTTTTAAAGCTCATGGCTGTTTAAAAAAATACAAACTCTACTCATGAAGACAAATATTTCATTAACTCTCTCGATTTTCACACTGCACTTCAATTAGCATAAAAAGCAAGACTTGTACCTGGCTGCTGTGTGTGCTGTAATACTAGACAGTGGTCTCCATGTCACCATGAAACCAACACCTTCCCTCTCAATTAATGAGCTTCAAGGGGAGAACACATTCTCCTTGCAGTCGCCGAGGAGCGGTGGCAGACTTTTGCATGATTATCAATTCCGTTAAGATTTTGACCAAGATGTTTAGGGGTCATTTGTTGGGCACTTGTGCCAACAATTTCTATGTATGGCGAGAACACACGCAATGATTTTTTTTGTTTTAATTCAATGAAAATAATAAAGTGATTGATCCAGAATGCATTCATGGGGAGCCGTCACCTCAGCTAGAGTCATGCATGTCATTATTGTTTAAAAAAACATTTGTGGATATAGTGACAGGAAAATCAAGTGCATCCTCTTACAATCCTAGGGTTTATGTGTCAGGACATAAAATAATCATCTGGTTCTAAGGGTTAAAAATTATTCTTATCTAACCTCAGGAGTACAAAACCACACAACAGTTTCCACCATGGGATTATTTATGGAACAAAAACAAACATAAAATGTAAAAGCTGTGTATGAAAAACTAAACCCACCACATGATTTAATACTTTATAGAATCTCCTTCAGTAGCAATAA